TTTTGTTTTTTTCTTTCTTTATACAATGGATTTAAACCAGGGTTGCTTTACCACTGAGCCACATCCCCAGCCCTTTTTGTTTTCTACTTTGAGACAGGATCTCACTAAGTTGCTTAAGGYCTTGCTAAGTAGCTGAGGCTGGCCTTGAACTTGTGATCCTCTTGTCTCAGCCTTCTAAGCTGTGTGTGCCACTGTACCCTGCCTATCATAGTAAATCTCACCAAGAGCTTATTTTGTGCTCAACTTCTGTGAACCAATTTCACCTGGAAAGTGGCTGACTTGTGGATGATGGAATGGAGGCAGAGGGAGGCCATGGAGGGAACAGGGCCAGAGAGGTTGAGGAGTGTGACCCAGCTAATTAAGTGGGAGCGTATTTGGCTGCCTGTGTTCCTGCCCAGCCAAAGCCCTTCCTTCCTGCCTGGAGTCCTTGGCCCTATGTGTCCTTAGTTTGTTGAGTCCTGTGACGGGAAAGAACAGTTACTGATCCTTGACTAGGCACTTCCTTCTTGTTACCTTGGAGGACAAGGCACGGAGCTGTGAGAATGTCCCAGGTCATGTGGCTCTCAGCAGGACTGGAACCCAGACCTGAGAGGTGCCAGCAGAGTCTAGAACCTGGAGGCATTCCTGGAGCAGGGGAAGGTGGGCCCTGCCAGTCACACAACCGACAGCCAAGCAGGGTGGGCCCCGCACTGGCTGCAGTTCCAGGAGTTGTGGTGGRAAAGGAGCACCTTAGGTTGGGATGGAGGATCCCAGTTGTAGGAGACGTGTCTCAGGGAAGTTGGCCAACAGCAAGGGCATGGCAGGACTTGGCCAAGTGAGGCCAGTTTAGATGTATGGGGACCCCAGCGCTGGAGCCCTATAGTGTCTGGGGTAAAAAGACCCTGAGCTGGGAGGGAAGACCTTGGGTTCCAGAGCATCTGGCTGGGCACCCTTGGATAAGTCATATACATGACGGACATAGGAAGGGCCTGTCACTGTGGACTTCCCCAGGGGAGCCTGCCAAGGGGCCTGGAGGGGGTCTGCAGGTGGTTGAGGGGGAGTCTGAGGCTGGAGGCTGGAGTGTGGGGATGCTTCCTGAAAGAGGCAGGGGTTTTCGGGAATGGGAGTGCTCCATGGTGAGGCTGGGACCTGGGTCCTCATCTTGCCCTGCCTGGCGTCCGCAGGTGGAATGCTATGGAATATGATGAGAAGCTGGCCCSGTTCCGGCAGGCCCACCTCAACCCCTTCAACAAGGAGCTGGGGCCAAGGCAGCATGAGCAGGGACCTAGTGAGGAGGCCCTGGACATTTCTTCTGAAGGTAGGTGCTGGGGGACTCTGTGG